CTGATTAGATGGGAGCAATCATTCATTCATACACGACATCCTTGAGAACTCTGGGCTGCAGCGACACCTTCTCCTACTTCCATCTCTCTCCTCACGCTCACTTTGCCTTAACAAACGTCTGCATCTACGCTTTGTCCCTTTCCAGCTCACCCTGTTTTTATTCATGCTCGATGCAGCTCCCTCTCAACAACGTACATGTCTAACTATAAATTTGCTTAGAGGAACATTAATTTTTCCTTTGCATTGAACAAGTCCCATGTATCTTGGAAATTGATTTGCATGGCTTGCTGCCATTTTCACCCCTTCTTTATCACTCATCTCTGTTAGGTCCTCACTGCCATCACCTCAGTCCATGTTCCCTGGGTCAAGGAAGCGACTGCAGAATAGAAGTCGCGGTGTCACACGTACTCCAGGGAGAATACGGCTTCCCTACTGCAATCGCTAGAGGTGAGAGACGATATATGAGAGGAGGCGAGGTCAACTTAAAAGAGATGAGATGGGATGGGTTTTCCCTTTAGACATACAGGTAGTGCGAATTCATTAAGTGCCTTGGGCTACAACCGACAGAGTACTTGTGCAGTGGTGAGAAGACGCAAATTCTGCTTTCAACGAGCCTTCTGCCTTAACTTCTACTTGCTGCACTGCCAATTAATGGCACAGCCTGCAACTTGTCCTCCTCCACTGAGAAACACTGTCATCTGGCTATCGAGTACACCTCATGGACCGTGATAAGAACACTTATATCATTCTAAGATAGACGCCACTCTCTTCATCAAGATATGAGTTAATATCGGTCAGCCTACTTTCAGAAGAATCAACACCTACTAACTGCAAATGGGTAAATACAGATCAACTTTCGCTTCAGCTGTCCGCAGCAAATCATTTGAAAAGAAGTCGTAAGCTATATTATGACATTCATTCACTTGCAAATGTACCAGAGACTAGGACTAACAAAGAATGATGCGCGAAAAGCGCGAAAGAATATGAGGCAAGAGACATCATGGAGCTGTAAGTAAAGAGCTAATAGCAAGCACTATGCGTAAGTCAGCAAGTGCTTACAATGGGGTACAAACAAAAGTAAAGTGAAAAGGGAAGAAATTAATTTTAGCTATGCAAATTTGTCCAGAGTGACAATAGTCTGTGAAAAAAGCGAAATTAGTGAATAAGACGTCAAGTGTAGGCGAAACATAACAGTTGAACCACCTCTTGTGAAATGCGAGTTAACGTAGCTGGAAGTGGGCGCAAAGGCGCGCAGCGAAGGCGACTACTGCTCTACGGACGCATCAATCGCCGCTGATTTTGCTCCTTCGACAAGCCTTCATGACCACACACTCACTGCTGTGTCTACTCTTCTGCTTTCTTCTGTGTCACCAGAGTACTTCTTCGCCGCTGTTTGCCATTTTGTTCCATTTTGTCTAATTTTCCTGAACAACCCATTTCCCCTTTTTAACTTGACACGTCTTCATACATCCGCACCCGTCTTCTCTGCTATTCCCACCATGCATGTAACACTACTCAAAATACACATCTCGTTGTCTATGGTCTGCTCCCAGCTCTGCGTCGGTTTGTAAATGAAGGCGACCACATTGCCGACGTGCACGAATGAGCAAGTCTGGATACGGTGCACGTGGACAGTACCAGTAGCCAGAGACCGACTGACTAACCGACTGGTGATTGATTCAAAATGGCAGAGCGTACCTTCATGTTGGCCAAAGAAGAAAAACTGAACAAAAGTCCTACTCCTTACAACTTTCAAATATATTCATTTCAATTAAGACTTCTAGAAAATTGCAGGATTTGATATTAGAAAGCTAAGAATCCAAAAGTTATGGAAATTGAAGATCAACACAGGAGCGTTTGATGGAGAACTCAGATATTTCTAGCGAATAAGCTTTTCCTTCCATATATTTATTATTCGCATTCTTTTGAGGACATTCAAGCCCAAGGAGTCAAATAGTGCAAAACTTAATTCTGTTTAAAACACTGACATCGTGATAAGTACGTAATAGAGCTTTTCACTATGTTTAATGATTCGGCTAATTTAGCAAGAGTTTCGGTACTCACCTCTTCCACCTGATTAGATAAAAGCA